ATTACCTGCTGAAAGCTTTCAAATGAACTGTTCCATTATGAAAAATAAATATTTAATTCCATGCCAGAGAGCCTCAGCCATGGCTTGCCTGCTTTGTGCTACTCCAGTTCATTACAAAAGGCTCAATTCTCTAGAGCTCACCAACCTGCAGAAGTCCTCCAAATCTGGTCTCCTAACAGCTGAGCCACTGAATCCTGATTACATTTGTCAGTCTTGGCTACATGACTTCTCCCCCCATAGGCTGGCACTCTATCAAAGTATCATTTCACACCACCCTCAAATTACCTTTATACGCCTATTTCTGGATGTAGTCTCAGGGATGCTTACCTTCAGCTAAATTTTGGTGGTCATGGCATACCAGAGCTTTGTCATGCTGGAAGTAAATGTTCTGGAAACTCACCAAGTTGCCCTCAACTTGGGAAAGGACAGCACAGAAAAAGAAGCCACGGACTTGGATCCTCCCTCTGTCACGACTCACTGCGCGCCTTAATTTCCTGTGCTTCCCCTTTTCCAGGTCTGGAAACCACACATTGTGCTTCCCTACCTCTAGATAAACAATTTGAAATCCAATGCTGCACAAGGGCCAAATATGATTGCTGCTTGATGCCACTGCCTTTACTTCCAAGTGCCAAGCTTCCCAGATGGCAGCACAAAGACATTGTTTCTTAATGTTGGTTTCTGTGCAAGGTGCACTGTCCACATCGGGACAGAACAAGTCAGGGAAAAGCATGAGGACGTAAAGCACTGGGGTTCTCTCTGGGAAGAGAATGAAGAGATGATTAGGAGAAGGAGGTGCAATGGAAAGCAAGTTGAAGCATATGTTACTTCCTAATAAAATTCAGGGGTTTTTTTTGCCAGTATCTCTAAATTGAGGTGGCTTGTGCTCTGTCTTTCCTCCTCCTGCCCTTGTACATTTCTGCTGAATTTAGCTGTGAAGGGAATGTGGAAACAAAGCCAATTTTGCTTCCCTTTTGCAAAGCAGTTAAGAGATCCTGAAACGTGGATAGCATATGAACTGAATGTCATATTCCAGAACTTGAACACGTACAGACACACTCCACACAAATCAGAAAAGCCCATGAGAAGCTTTGGTTTATACACACAGACAAATACTGCAGCAGCAATTGGCAGAGATGATACTGCTGAGATACTGTACTGCAGCCATTACATATCCCAGAAACACTGGGTCTCAGCATGCCAGAAAGAAAAATAAATAAGTAGAATTGCATCATTTTGCTGGCACTAAACAAATCCATCAACACTGACAAGGGCAGAGCTGCTGCTTGCCTGGCTGAGGAGGAGCAGGTCTCAAGTGAGGGATACCACATATTCAAAGGGGTAGAGGGAAGGTACTGGACTGACAGCAAGAAAACATGAAGAAGGAGCTGTCTGTAGATATCTTCCTTTTCTTCAGGGCCAGAATCTCTCAGCATTTTTTTAATTTGTATTTTTAAAGTCTCAAAAATATTCTAAGCAAGGTTAATTTAATAATTTTGTTCCTTCCTGGCAGTATGATGTCATTTGTGTATTTTCATTTTCTTGCACTGCTACAGCAAGCAATAAATTCAAGGTCAAATACCGGGTATAGTTAAAACTCCAGCAAGCTAGTTGACAGTGGATAGCTCTCAGCACTTGGGACATGGAAGCAAAGCCTCCTCTTTTTGTGCTGTCATCAGATGGCTTGCCCTTGCTTAGTATTTTATGAAAAATATGTGTCATCTGTTCCTTGACATAGGAACAGGAATGCAGTTATAGAGGGAAAAAAAAAGTGAGGTTTGTGTGTTTCTTGTTAGCAAATACATTCAAATCCCTTTGGAAGGCTTGTCATCCTTCACTGCAAGGTCTCTGGTGGTCAACTGGAATTGTTTGTGGCAAGGCAAGTAAAAATGATGGAGATATTTAAAAATAATCCCCTCATTATGCCATCATTTGGGAATGCGCACTGCTACTCCTGTCATTATTTGGTGTTTGCATAAAACCACCATAAAGAACTAAAAACTGGAGGTGAAGGGGCAGAGGAATGGAATTTTAAAGCCCTCTTCCAAATACTCTTGGCATTTTCCTGCTCAAGAGTTGATCTGGTATCCTCTGCATAATGCAAGATACTACAATACTGTGGAAGACATCCAGTGTGCCCTTCTGGAGAACACAGATTTACATCAGCTTCTGTGAAAGCAGCATGATCTAGGCCTTGAGGGGAGCTGAAGCACATGAAGGTGGGGAGAAATGGGTCTGTCACACTGAGTTGTGAAGCTATGGGCTAACCATAGATTAGGGAGTGAGAAGGCATCCACATCTGCCGGGGATGTGGAGCAATCAGAGCCAGGGCACACAGCTGTGGAGCTTACAATGTTCCTACTATGTAGATGTTACTAACATGCTGCACCTTGGGGAAGGGCAGCATGTTACTTGGATTGGACCACAATCAGAATGGACAATTTGGGAAGAACAAGTAATCAAATACAAATCAGATACTGATATGTTTCTCTCCCACAGATCACATAGTTGAACTTCGGCTGTTTTACCTCAGGAGACGAGGACAAGAAAGGTTTGATGTATATATTGGAGTCGTGCACCTTCAGGTCATGGTCTCCCAGTCCTCGGGTCACTCCAATTGTTGCCATAACCCGAGCCTGGAAATAAATAAAAGCAATGGGATCAAATCTTGTTACATG